TGAGTAAGATAAAATACGAATCGGTCGGAAAAGGTGAGGGGGGGCCCACGCCCCTCCTCATCCTGCCCCTCCCCCCCCGCCCGTTCCCGGGGTCCTCGTCGTATCCCTCCTCCTCCTCCTCCCCCTCCCCCCCCCCCTCCTCCTCCACGCCCCCCTCCCCCCCTCTAGCCAGCCCAGCTGCCGGCCAGCGAGCCAGCCAGCAAATCGACCAACCAACAGACCAGCCTGCTGGCCAGCCGACCACCCGGCCAACCAGCCAACCAACCGAGCAGCCAATCGGCAGCCCAGACATCCCAGGACCATTCGGCCAGCCAACCAACTGGCCAACCGGCCAAGCGGCCCGCCAACCCAACCAGTCAGCCAGCTGGCAAATAAAACCAACAAACCCCACGAGGCCCCAAGGGCCAACCACGAGCAATCCATGGGGCTCCGCACAGGAATACCCGCAGGAATCCATGGGAATCCGTTGAAATCTCCATAAGAATCCGCGGGGGCCCCCATCGGAATTCATAGGACCCCCACAAGACCATTGGCATCCCAATGGGAATCCGTTGGAACCCATAAGAATCCCGATCGGAAACCCAATAGGAATCCATCCGTCAAAACCCCAAAAGAATTCATTGAAATCCCCCTAGGAATCCATAGGAATCCGCGTTGGAATTCACAATAGGAACCCCATAGGAACCCGCAGGGCCACCCATAGGAATCCGTAGGAATCCTCATCGGAAGCCGCACGGCCCCCATAGGATTCCACACAAAATCCCATAGTGTCGGAGAGTAGTTATATCAATCAGCCCAAAGGCTAGGCCAACTGGTCCAGAGACGGAAACAGCGCAAACGAGCGTAACTGCTTAGACTTAAATCAATCCCAAGCCTTGCCCTTTTTCCTGGCCCCCATTTTGCCCATGCCCCCAGTCTTGCCGCCCCGCCCCTCGCCGCCCTTCCCGCCGTTGCCCCCCTGGGCCTTCCCGGGCCCGCCTCCGCTGGCCTCCAAGCGCGCGCGTCTGCGCTCTCTCTCGTCCGGCGTCGCCTCGACGCACGCCAGCCGGCGCCTCGGGGCGGGGGCCCTCTCCGCGCGCGCCGGCGCAGGACCCCCGCGAACGGGGGGCCTCGCGGCCGCGCGCAGCGGCCCGCCCAGGAAAGTCAACGCCGCCTGCGCGGGCAGCGCCTCCTCGCCGAACTTGAGGGCCATCCAGAACGCACCCTCAACCTAGACCTCGCCGTCGACAGCGCCGCGCGTCTGGCCGCGCACGTGGAGCGGCGCGCCCGCAGCACCCAAGCCACATATGACCTTCTAGATTGCCGCGCCACGCGACGAACTCCGCGGAGTCCTCGGCCGGGAAAGGCCACGGCACCTGCAGCCGCCGGGGCCCCCGCTCCCCCTGGCGGCCGAGGAAAGTCCAAAGACCCAACCGCCTTTGCCGCTCGACGGCGGGGGCGGGGCGCGCGAAGTCCCGACCCCAACCGAATTCCCCAGAGACCCTGGAGACGGCTGAACCGAGACCGATTCGAGAGACACGCCGCCCGAAACCGACGGCCAGCCTCCATCGAGAGACCCCGAGGGGGCGCCCCCGAAGGGGCGCGGGTCAGCCGGCCCCCCCATCCTCGGCAACAGCACCCCTCAACCAAAGTAGCAAACGCAATCCGAAGACCCATGGGTTCATTCTCCCGCCAGTTCTGCATGTTGACCCCTCGCCGACTGGGAAGCGAGTGGGGGGGGGGGCAAGGGGGCCGCTTCCCGCCGACCGCCCGCCCTGGGAAGGGGGGCCCGGGCTCGCTTGGAGGGCCCTTCACGTGGTCGGCTGCCTTACAAACATCATGGCAAGCTTCGTGGCGAGCGCGCCGAGCAAGCCGTCGATGAGGATCTGGACCTCCCTTCTCAGTCGAGATACTCTGCGCGCGCGTGCCGTCCAACTCGAGTTTCGCATTCGCCAGCGATTCCGTCGTGCCGCTTTGCGAGCGCAGCTTTCCCACGAGCTCGCCGAGCTGCAGCGGCGCTGGCTTCTCGACCGCGGGCTCTGCCAACAGCTGCCTTTCTTCGTGGCATTGGGCGCCAGGACTGCTTCCGCACTTTCGACGCCCCCGAAAGTTTTGATATCGCCACGTAGCTTGCCGAGTCGTTTGACTCGTTCACCTTTTGCCTTGCCCCTTTCCACAAATACTTCCTGAAACAGCTGTGCACCTGGACTGGGTCGTGGCTCGAGTTGCCTGACTTGTTTTCGCAAGCTGTTGAGCACATGTCGTTGCGCCGCCAAGACATGCGCTGCGCCGCTCCACCGCGAATTCCCTAAAGCCTGCCCGCGCCAGTCGCGCCCGCAGTCGCGGCGCGCGCGCCTGGGGCCCCAGTTCTTCTTTGCTCCGCACTGAGGGTTTGGGCTCCACCAGCCTGTCCGATTCCTCCTCCGCCGTTGGCGCCGTTGCCGCTGCGGGCCGCGCTGGGCCCCCGAGCGGGCGCTGAGCGCCAATAGAGGGTGGCCGAGCGCACCAGCACCGCTCTCAGCAGGCGGGGCCGGCCCTGGGAACGGGGAGAGCGGCGCGCCGCCGTAGAGGAGGTTGCCCCACGCAGGGAAGCTGGAAAATATGGTTCAAGGCTTGTCAGCACTCTTCGGCAATTGGCGAAACTTTGGGAAATGCGCCTCCAGGTGGTGCCAAGAATGAGAACATGCAGCGTTGGTCATCCGATTGGCTCCAGCCTCAATCTCTGACTCGCAGAAGCTTGCGAAACTATCGCTCCACTTCCATGCCAGCCGGCCTGCGCGATCACGTGCCTGGCGGCGCCTCCGAGGGTCCGAATCGAAGAGTGCACGGGACCAGTTCTGATAGTTGGTACTGAGCAGTCTCCCGGCCAACCGGAATTGCTTTTCGTTGATATTTAACTGTCCAATCTGGCATACTCAAAGAATCGAAGCGCTGCTCTTATCTCTGGCCGTGCGCTGCATGAAGTCAGACCTTGGGTCGAAGGTGTCGACTTCCTCTTCGTGCTGTTCAGATTGATCAGTTTCGTCTGCGTCACAACTCTCCGAACCCCCAGGAGGATCGACCCGCGAGCATCCACGACCAGCTCCAATCACCAACCTTAGCATCTCGCGCTGGGCCTTCAGGAATGTTCTCTCCATGCCGACTGTGAGAGTCAATGTGGAAGCCCCGCAGAGTACGCAAGGCGTATGTACATAATCGAACAAGCGGACTGACGACAATGAATACGACTTGGTCGTCAGCTCTGCTTTGAACACGTGGAACTTCCTCCATGCGCTCTGAATCCGGGCCTCTAGTTCCACCCTGTGCGCATGTTGGTAAGATGCCTTCCTGCCCAAAACTTGGCGCTATCTGCTCGTTTCTAGAGCTCTATTTCCATGCCACGAACAGAAATGAGCTGCTGGCCAGCCTCGCCTGTGGAAACGAAAACGGATAAGAAACTGCGGCCTCGCAGGCCGCGTTGATAGCGGAATCTGAACCAAAAACTGACGCAACGGCTAGGATCAGACGCCTGCCCTGGGTCGAGTCATCTAGAGCCAAAACAGCAACGGGTGCCCATCATGATGATAGTGATGATAATGATGGTGACAATGATATTGATGCTGATGGTGGCGATAATGATGCAGATGCTGATGACGATGTAGATGAGAATGGTGATGGTGTGGTGATGTTGGTGAAGATGATGAGTATGGTGATTATTATGATGGTGATTGTGATGATGGTGGTGAATTTGCTGCTGGCAATGATGATGATGATGATGATGATGACGATGCCGATGATGATGACGATGACAATGATGATGATGACGATGATGATTATGATTTTGATAACGAACCGGGGTACCATGATCATGATGCTGATGCTGCTTGTAATGATGATGGTGGTTTTGATGATGATGATCGTGATGCTGACGATGGCGGTCGCGATGGTGATGATGATGCTGAGTATGGTGATGAAGATGATGATGGTAATGATGATGACGCCGACAGCGAAATGATGACGAGGATGATGATGAGGAGGGTGACGATAATGACGGTAATGGTTAACCTGATGATGCTGATGATGATGAGGAAGATGATGAGGAGGATGAGGATGATGATGATGCTGATGATGATGCTGATGATGATGATGATGATGATGACCATGATGATGATGATGATGATGATGATGATGATGATGATGATGACCATGATGATGATGATGATGATGATGATGATGATGATGATGATGATGATGATGATGATGATGATGATGATGATGATGATGATGATGATGATGAAAATGTCGATGCCGACGCCGACGCCGACGCCGAGGCTGACGCCTACGCCGGCGCCGCCGCCGCCGCCGCCGACGACGACGACGACTCACGACGACTACGATCACACAAGGGCCACGTGGAGACCTCCCGAAGCTGGGAGTATCGCTGAAACGCTCAAAGATCGGGCGCTCGCTAACATCGATTATGAATCCGTGGACCTGGCGCGTGGGCGCCAGATCCACGGATCGAGTGAGGTACCGCCGTAGCACGAAACCATGCCGCTTGATGGGGTGGAGCAGCGCGCCGGCTCGGTACGGAAACGGGACCCGTCGCTGATGAATGCGCCGAAATCTTTGTTTGCAGGGACATCCGCCTCCCTCGCCTCCCCGAAGAATGCTCCACCTCCTTGTCAGCGTTCGTTCCATCCCTCCTCCGTTCCTGCCTCCTACTCCTCATCCTCCTCCACCTCCTCCTCATCCTCCTCCTCATCAGCATCAGCATCAGCAGCATTAGCATCAGCATCAGCATCAGCATCAGCATCAGCATCAGCATCAGCATCAGCATCAGCATCAGCATCAGCATCATCATCATCATCATCATCATCATCATCATCATCATCATCATCATCATCATCATCATCATCATCATCATCATCATCATCATCATCATCATCATCATCATTATTATCATCATCATCTTCGTGGTGCCGCATTCCTCCTCCTCATTTTCCTCCTCCTCCTCCTCTTCCTCCTTCTCTCCCGAGGTCCACGTCCACGGTGTAGTTGCTGGCGCGCCACCCGAGGAAGCTGAGGCCGACTGTCACCGCGACCCCAGCGAAGGCGACCACCAGGGGCCACCGGGTGACGAGGGCCAACCAGGTCTCGAGGGGGCCGGCGCACTTCTGGCCGCGGCGCTTCTGGTTGAGAAGGAGGAGGAGGAAGACGAAAAGGAGGAGGAGGAGGAGGAGGAGAAGGAGGAGGAGGGGGAGGAGGAGGAAAGAGGGGGAGGAGGAGGAGGAGGAGGAGGAGGAGGAGGAGGAGGAGGAGGAGGAGAGAGGAGGAGGAAGGAGGAGGAGGAGGAAGAGTGGCAGGAGGAGGAGAGGGGAGGAGGAGGAGGAGGAGGGGGAGGAGGAGGGGAGGAGGGAGGAGGAGGAGGAGGAAGAGGAGGAGGAGGAGGGGAGGAGAGGAGGAAGGAGGAGGAGGAGGAGGAGGAGCAGGAGGGGGTGGAGAGGAGGGAGGAGGAGGAGGAGGAGGAGGAGGAGGAGAGATACTGAAGGTTCGCTGCCAGAAGCATCGTTCATGGACGACGCCACTTTCCTCTGCGTGCTGCGCGACAATGCACGCGTAGAGAGCGACATCTTCAGCAGACTGTCCATCATCAAGAAGCGGCTAAAGATATTCGACACGAACTACATCCAAAGAAAACGAAGGCTTGCTGCTGATCGAAGGGAAGGCCAAGCAACACACCAAAACCATGATATCCAAGAGCAACCCGATCACGTTGCAGATTGACCAGGGAGAGGACCCGACCAGCACGGACGCCAACACGGCCGAAGTCACCACACATGGGGTCACACTGGGAAACGTGGTTACCGCCGACGGCAGCGAAGGACCCAACCCGCTGCGAAGAATCATCGACCACCACTCGGCCGAAGGGCCCCTGAAGAAGTCAGTCTTTAGGTGGACACCAAGGCCAAGACCCAATACCTGGCGGCATTGGCTTACAGCAAGCTCATATATGATAGCGAGGTCTGGGGCCCCCTGACACCGCAACAACGACAACAGCTCCAGAGCCGACACATGGCCAGTCTGAGAACAGTGGTAAGGCAGCAACATAATGCACAATCCGCCAACCATACCACTGACGACGACATCTATCTCAAAGTGCCGATTCACATGTCCATCCGGAGGCGGAGACTGCATTACTTCGTGAGGATGCTTCAGACGGACACGCCATACTTGCACAGATTGGTCGACGAACTGTGGGGCGACCCACTTGGAATACTCAAATAGAGGAGGGCATAGACTGGCTCAAGCTGTTTCTTCGGGAAGACGAAGGGATCGGAGCTGACCTTCGAGGATTCGCTGAGTGGGCACGAGGCCAGCCAGAACATGCAGCACAGGCGCTGATTGCGCGAGCGTGGTTCAGATACTGTCAGTGGCAGCACGATATGTACAGACACCGAGCTTGGCAACGGCAACTACACCAGCTGGCCCGCCAGTCCGGCCTGACCATGCCCAACTTCGAAGGCAGACCAGCAGAAGAGCGCCAGGGATACGTCTGCTACGAGTGCGGCAGGGTACTGATGACCAAGGGCGCGTGGAAGCGGCACAGTACCATGGAGCATGTTGGCTACGACCTATCTGAGCGCCTCGCCAGATCCACCACTTGCCCTGGGTGCGGCAATGATTTCATCACAAAGTCGCGCATCCTGAAGCACCTCAGGAGATGCCCCAAATGCGTCGCGGTGCTACAAGCGATAAACTACCGATGGACCCAGAAGAAGCAGCTGACCGACGGGAAGAGGAACAGCTCCAAGTGGCCGCGAGAAAGGCACACAAGGGCATTGGGCGACAAAGTCACTCGTACCAGTCTAACAAGTTCTGCGCCTGAAGCTCGCTGACCTTATCGACCCAGACCAGTTGCCGAGATCACCACTCCCACCAGAAGCCGCGAGCATCGAGCCCGAGGGACCTGTACCTACAACTTTCACGACATCCAGACCGCTGATTACGACGACCATGTTCCTGCTGCACCTCTTCTAGGGAAGAAGGCGGGTGGAGGACTTCCAGCACCACTTCGAGATGCACGTAGCATGCTGAAACCTGGTGGTACCCTCTATCGACGAGCAGATCGACCCCGTCAAATGCGACCTCACCAAGCAGGACGCGCTGGCTTTCTGGGTCAACGCTAAAAGGGCTGGCAAGATCCTCGGCATTTTGGCTGGACCGCCCTGTGAGACGTGGTGAGGTGGAACGCCCTCGAGGGAAGAGCACCGCGACCCCTCAGAACCCACGAACACTCGTGGGGCGTACAAGCAGCCAGCCAGACAGAATTACAACAGCTTGCACTGGGCAACGACCTCTACAGAACGGCCATCTTACTCATCACGACGGGTCTGAATTTCGAAGTGTCAGCCATACCCGAAAATCCACCACCTGCCACCTGGTGCCCGCAAGCACCGAGCAGCTGGCACAGAGCGGAGACCCAGTGGCTATTGGAACAACGAAGCGTGGAACTTCACTACATCGACCAGTGCCAGTTCGGACAGACAGCGCAGAAACCAACATGCCTACTCGCAACACACCTACGCGAATCACAACAAGAGCTACCGGCAATACCCGGAGGGTAGACCTGTACGCACAACGGACATGGCCGAGCTTACGGACGCGATGACAGAGGTGGATGGAAGACGGCACCACTCAAAGAATACCCGTCAAAACTGTGCAGAGCCATGGCGGCGGCTTTCGCGGCGAGATGGGGACAGCTGGCAGACGACAATGCACCATGGGCCATGGACGACGAGGAGAATCACAACTTCTACGCACCACTGGACTACGACGCAGAGACTGTAGAGCTTGGCCGCGCTTGCCACAGGGAGTGGGGATCCTGGGGGCGCTAACAGGCACAGACACAGGCCGCGCAGAATGGCACACACAAGCGGCCGAACTCACTACACACCGCACCACATCCACTACGACCAACAATTCCAGCTACCAGACCAACAGCAACAGGCCCAAACAACCTTCCTGCCATCAACACTTCCAACCACCATCCACCAAGCCCTCCAACACGACCCAGTGTCCACCAGACCGACAGCACCACGGCTGCGATCCAACGACGCCACCCGCACTACGAGCACCACTCCTCGCAGCCAGACACCGCACCATACACCCCAGCGAACCAAAGCGCACACCGCTCCGATAACCATCCCAACGGCGTTAGGACGCAAGTCCTGAGGAAGCCCCGAATGCGTGGGAACACATCAGGCAGCGTAGCCACATATTGCTGGAGGTGTTAGGACGCAAGTCCTGGGGAAGCCCCGAATGCGAGGGAACACCCCAGGCACAAGTCGCAACGTTTAGCAGTACAGAAGCATGCAGCGCTTTCACACGCACACGCTTTAGCGGCCACCAGCAAACCAGACTACAGACGACCTCAACGACCGCCAATGACCAACGACCAACCAGTACCAGCAACCTTCAGACAGCCCCACCAACACAACGTCACAAGGCCACGCTGCCCTGGTGAGGCAAGGATCAAACTTCGAGACGGGCTCGAAGGGTGGGGGGGGGCAGGACGAGTACTGCCCGCGCCCACCAGGGGGGATGGTGAGGGCCACTACCCGCACCCCCGCGGTCCGCCCTAGCTCGCCACCCCCACCATCCCCACGACGGAGGAGGAGCTCACCCGTACGCCGACATGGCAGAGCAGAGGGCAAGCGTGGTCAACCCCACCACGAATACAACAGCACCAGGCCTGGGGTTCGCTCCCACCGAGGGCACAGTGACCCCTAGCCATAGCGGGACGAGGTGGGACAGTCAAGACCCCCACTTGAAGTCGGTACATGGAGGCCACCAGGTGCGAGCCCCACCCACACACCCACACATTCCAACATATTACCAATAACACCGACGACAGAGCGCGAGAAAGGTGGAGCCACCACAGCCGCACGACTGCAGCAACCTGACCTCACAGAGCAGCGCAGGGAGCTGGAGATCACGCAGGACGATAAGACGCAAAAAGGACAAGACACATGGGAGCCCGAGGGAAAGGTGGTCAGGAGCAGGGACCACACACCTCGAGCCCCACACAAACACAGCTAAAAGAAGGACAGGAGCAGGGTCCACAACGCTAGAGCCGCGCGAGGACCTGGGGAAAGGTGACCAGGAGCAGGGGTCACACACCCGGGCACACGAAGATGGAGTTAATGAGGTAGGGAACTCTAGGGAAAGGTAATCAGAAGCAGGGACCACACACCTAGTGACCAACGATGGCAGAGGACGGAGGAAAGGTGGTCAGGCCCAAGGACCACACACTCTGTCCCAAGGCCAAGGGGCAGCCTGCCACGACCCTGGGCTCAGCGCGAGGCGCCGAAGGGAGCCCAGGCGTCGCTGAGAGGCCAGCCAGGCCGAAGCGGGCTCGAGGGAAAGGTGGCCAGGAGCAGGGACCACCTACCTCGAGCCCCGCAGGGAGCTGGGGAAAGGCGGGCAGGCGAGCCACTCCCCCACACCCCTCTGGACCCGGGGAAAGGTGGTGAGGAGCAGGGACCACACACACCCAGGCCCAGCCGAAGGGGGGACAGCCGCCCTCCACAGCGGCTGGGCTCGGCGCTCCGCGCCGACGGGGGCCCAGCCGCAGCCCACAGCGGCCAGCCTGGCCCGGGCCCACGAGGAGGCCGAAGACCAGGCCGAGCGCCGCGCCGCGGGGAGGTGCCTGACGCCCGCGGGCGCGAGCGCGCGCGGCGCCCGCCCTTTATGGCCCTGTCGGGCCTTTTTTGTTTAACCCGGCCTCTCTCCCCTTCTCCTCCTCCTCCTCCGAGGAGGAGGAGGAGGAGGGGGAGGAGGAGGAGGAGGCGGAGGAGGAGGAGGAGGAGGAGGCGGAGGAGGAGGAGGGGGAGGGGGAGGGGGAGGGGAGGGAAGGAGGGATGGAGGGAGGGAGGCATTTACTGGTCCCTGGTCCTCATTCGTTCCTCGACCTCGGGCTCCCGGGTCCGCCGTCTGAGTGCCCCCGCACGGCCCTCATGGGCTGCGGTGGCGCGCTCCGCGCTCCGGGCGCACGCGAGGCGCTGCCCGGAGCGAGGAACGCAGAAACGCAGGAGGAGGAGGAGGAGGAGGAGGAGGAAGAAGAGGAGGAGGACGAGGAGGAGGAGGAGGAGGAGGAATGGGCGGAATAGGCGGGACAGCAGCGGCAGGCGCA